CAATAGGACGATAAACTACTTTTGAAATCTGCGCCATATCTTTAATTGATTTCAAATTGACGTTGTAATTCTGCATTAATATATGTGGAGGATTGGTGGTCGCTTTTCACTCAAGGCTGCTAAATCTGGCTCTGAATTTATCTGCAACACATGAATCTGAATATGAATCTCCCGAAAGGGGTCATGGACTGTTATGTCAAAACGATTACTGTTTTTCTGTTCTCAGTATAATGTAACCTGATCGCGTGGCACGCCTCTGTGTCTAGATTATCACGTTTCAATAAGATGTCACTTTCAAGTTGTCCTTGGTTGACTCGATCACCTACAGACACCGTCATCTTTTGACCTAATTTGTAGCGATGAAGTAAATACCACAAACAACTGTATTCGCTGAATCCGAGCACAAACATTTACCTACAATCCTCTGTTCAGAATTCAGAATTCCATCCTTGCAGGTCGGGGATCGAGAAAAAAAATACATCTGCTGTTACCCACTTAATGTTTCGAAAGAGCCGACCAAGGTGTGAACCCCCGTACTAAATAGGGGATTTGCTTTCGTGCCCTCTACATAGGGACACAAAAGCGACCAAAATGTATCTGCTGCGCCAATTGCAATAGTTGGGATCTTTTTATTTCCCTCTACTTCTAACTACCTCTTATTTCCTAACGCCTTGCTTGGCAATACCTAACTTTTGGCTTTAATGTTGAGCGTTCGCTTAGGTGAGATATCACTATAAAGTCAACATCAAATCCGCGCTATTACAAGGAGGCAAATACACCAACATACGCTGCCTCCGGCACACATTCACGCATACGTACACAACACACATTGAGGCACGTCCTTAAATGACATAAGCTGTTAATAGGACGTTAAACAAAATAAAACCAAACTGTTCAGAATTCAGAATGATACATTGTATGTACAATAATGTACATGTAACCGTGTTTGATTGATTCCCTGATCAATGGTGTGACCTCATCTGACAGAATAGGGAGCCATTGAATAACGACGGCATTTGTAAATATTGAATACATCAGTAGCATTGTTTCAGAGCAGATCAACCCTTACATTATCAAAACGGAAACAAGCTTTACAAATCAAAGTCAATGTTGATGAATTGGAATTACTTATTGGTTACATTTGAGCTCTAGTATCAAGAACATGATTCAGTAAAATAAATTATAAGATATATTATTTCCCGAGCAGAATGAATTGTTATATAATCTGAAAAAAAAAAACTAAAAAAAAACCGGTAAACAATTTAATAAAATATGTTTTCTTGTGTACTTAAGTGTATAAGCCCAACTCGACGTACACATTATAGGTTTGATTTGTGTTTTGGTACTTAATGCCTCTGTTTCATTTCGCCTTATGTCACTAGCAGGATGACATGGTCTACTAGAGAAGTTCAAGCTGCAGAGTGTACGAGTCAAGGGAGAATCGAAATAGTAGCCAACAGTAGTCCAACACATTCAAGTTAAGCCATGTACAGCAGTATTCACATACAATGTTGTATAGTGTGTGACCAACCCAAAATATATCAATTACGACAGGCATAAAAGCATATACTATGAGTATGATTAATTGATTAACATATATATGAATATATTTACATTTGCCCCCGCGCCGTCCCATTACAACAGTGTTAGAGGGCAAGTGTAATTATATAGGCTATAATTACAACTGCTCGACTATAATTACAACTGCCTGTTTCAGGTGTAGGAATATGGAAACAAACAAAATGGCCGCCTGAAATGTATTTTGAGACAGGACAAATGGTTTTTGCAGGAATATGTCTTAAAAAAGAAAATTATGTAAATATAAAAAATACCTGGTTGTCTGGATGTAATTATTGTTGATATAATTACAAGTGGCCTCTGGCAAATCTACCATAAAACCCTAGCGGTTAACAATAATTACATCCAGACAACCAGTTATTGTTTAAATATATATATATATATTTATAAAAAGAAAGATTCTTAACAACGAGTCTTTAGTATTTATATGCTTACGATGTATACTATGGAAGTGTTGCTAGACTTACAAACAATCTTTATTTACAATGTCAAGCTGTTTCTTATTGGGTGTAGACACAACTCTAATCTTACATGACCTGTGGATCAGAAAAGGGGGTCAGCAATACCGCGTTTAAACTCCGTTAATGTAACCTACCTGATGATAACGACAAAAAGTGTTTGCCTGCTCTCCTATCGGACATATATTTGTACTTTGATCCTAAATCTGATTTAAGATTTCTCTAACCACTTTTAATAATCCTATGTTTTTATGCTTTCTTAGTTGTTTTACAAAACGAGTTTATCTTAGTTGCCTTTTGTGGTCGGGAAAGCTCTCCCAAAAACAAAGGACAATTGCAAATAATGCCATAATTGTCCAGTCAATCTACGGTTTAACATCAAATTAATTATCATAATATTGGGATTTTTCTTTTCACAATGAATTAAGATGTATACTGATTTGCCAAAAAGAAGCTTATAATCATTGTATTGAACAATAATTTTTGAAAGAAAATTTGGCTTAATATAATTCACCCCTGTATTCCATGTGTTCAGAGTTTCTGTAACTTTAAAAGATATTTCGTTTTAACAGTTTGCTGGCGATATAACCGGCTATAATATAAACTTGGTAACACATCAAGGATGTTTAGTAGAAAAAACGAGATATACAAAGCACGAAACACTCTCTGAATCGAATATACGAGTAATATTATTTTTTAACAATCAGGATAAAATATTCATTCAATAAGATATTTTATGTCAACCAACATATCATATTTTGTATAGGCGTACAAGCACACGATTCGGTGTATTATGTAAAACCAATGTAACTCAGGTGCAAATGTAACACAGGCCGGTTCTGGATCCAGAATGTCTTTTGTCACCTCCCTCCTTATATCTCGTTTTGGAAAAAAAAAACACGTGGTAATTCCCTATAAATAAACCCAAAAAGGGTATGGGTGTCGACATTCTGTGACTGAAAATGGCATTTAAAAAACCCGCTTGGCTTTGAATATTGAAGTTGTGATTTTTTTTTTTTTTCGTTTATCTATAGCAGAGTAAAGTTGTTTTTATTAATTTTGTTTTACTTATTGAAAATTGCTATGAACCCAAATGTCTTTTGAATAAGAAAAAACTCAAATTGTAAACTCATTTATTCTTGAGTTTTATCTGAACATAAGGAATCACCATAAAATTAAGAAATACAATTATGCTGATATGATCAATTAAGTAAAATCTGGTGAATATTTCCTTTCCTTATATGCTGTCCATTTTGATTTTTAATTAAAGACGTTTTATACATTTAATATGTATGTATAGGTTATATTTCAATAAAAAAAAATATACTTCCAGTATCTGTCCGGTGACGTGCAGGATGTATTTTTCTTTGTATGCGGAATTTCGATATCTAAATCCTAACTATTTGAACGAAAAACAATACATTCACGTAAACCTAAATCAAAAGTCGTCACTCTTTAAATCAAGGATATAAACAAAGGTAAATCAAACAATGTTTCAAGGTAATTGAGTTTGACAATATCACCCATACATCATATTGCTACATTTAGCTAAAACTATAAATTATGCCAAGAACATAATTCCATAATAGACAAAATAGTGCGCTGTCATAAACACTTACATTATAATGTTTCCAAAATATGTTATGTAAGTCTCGTCTGCTCGCAGTCTCGTATGGCAATGTTAAGGTCATTCCAATATGGCTGCCACACCAAACTGTATATCAAATTCAATAATGCATTCCGTTAGCATTAAACAATCCCTGTCACCAAACAAAATAACTTATGAAATAACTCACTTTTTATATGTTCATTTTCCAAACTGAAAACAAGTCCCAATTCAGGAAAAAATCCATTTAAACTTGTAAGTATCATAAGGTTGGCTGTCCATGGAGATGCATTTGTCGAGAAAATTGTAAGAAAATGTGTCAAATCTCCAGAATAATGGCATGTATTTCCCCTGAATAAATCACAACTGAGCACAAAGAGAACAATGCTGATTGAGGTTGGAAAAAACATGCGAAGCAAGTGAGATTTTACCTGTACACCAGTCACTGCAGGTTCTCACTCCGGTACTATGGCTTGACTGGTATCAAAAGTCTTGTTAGCTTTGTAACGGTTCACGTCCTTCGTCCTCCACCGTTGTCCTTCCGGGTTCTAGCGTAAAGTGACGTACATTTTATATCCTTGTAGTCTGTAGCGTGACAAAATATATACCAAACACTAAACTTATCGTTTCCAACATTTATTATCAAGGCAACATTTACAACAACGTTTATGAATAGTGCGACCTATGATGTGGGTACCCAATAACATCCTGCGCCGGCGTTAACGTCATAATAGTGACGGCCCGCAGTATATATACGCATGAATGAACCCACATAATAAGACCAAATACCAAATCAAAATACATGTCATTATTCTGGAGATTTGACACATTTTCTTACATTTTTCTCGACAAATGCATCTCCATGGACATCAAACCTTATGATATTTGTATAAGTTTAAATAGATTTTTTCCTGAATTGGGGCCTGTATTCAGCTTGGAAAATGAACATATAAAAAGAGAATATTTTTATTAGTTATTGAATATTTTTTCTGAAATTTAGTGTGCATGTACCTCAATTATGTTTGAGAAATATTGGAGGAGGAATACATTATTGAATTTTATATACAGTTTGGTGTGGCAGCCATATTGGAATGACCTTAAATCAAGACGTGCACAGGTACAGGTGTGCTCATAACTACACTGTGTTTACAAATGCTGACACAAAAGGAGGCCTAGCCTATCTGTATAGGGGCGAGATACTCTGAACGGTCACCCCCTTAGCACAAACGCATTGCTCACGTGTGACAGACGTGTGCAAAACAAGAGATTGTACATTTTTATCTGTATCTGTGAAAGATACCAGCTTCCGGTCCATCAATTAATATGCTTCAGCTGGAACAACTTTAAAATGTCAAAAGGCGTGAGTCAATGCAGACATTGACTTCTTGTTTATTTAACCCACTTCATCTTTTTACTCAAACATTTGAGTCATTCAAAGGTATGTACACAAATGTATTTCGTAACACCGTCCATCTTTTAAGTACCGTGTAGTTATAAAACAAAACAAAAACGACGAATAGCGTCGATTTGATCTGTATGGTTGTATATACTGTACACCAATATGTTTGCAAATGTTGTTGTTGTATCCAAGTAATGGCAAGTCATCACATCGGGTAGTGTCAACAAAATCACCAGGCACTCTTATGGCATGTCATCACATCGGTTAGTGTCAACAAAATCACAAGGCACTCTCATGGCATGTCATCACATCGCATAGTGTCAACAAAATTACCAGGCACTCTAATGGCATGTCATCACATCTGGTAGTGTCAACAAAATCACCTGGCACTCTAATGGCATGTCATAACATCGGGTAGTGTCAACAAAATCACCAGGCGCTGTAATGGCATGTCATCACATCGGGTAGTGTCAACAAAATCCCCAGGCGCTCTTATGGCATGTCATCACATCGGGTAGTGTCAACAAAAGCACCTGGCACTCTAATGGCATGTCATCACATCGGGGAGTGTCAACAAAATCACCAGACACTCTAATGGCATGTCATCACATCGCATAGTGTCAACAAAATCACCTGGCACTCTAATGGCATGTCATAACATCGGGTAGTGTCAACAAAATCACCAGGCCCTCTAATGGCATGTCATCACATCGGGTAGTGCCAACAAAATCACCAGGCACTCTAATGGCATGTTATCACGTCGGGTAGTGTCAACAAAATCACCAGGCACTCCAATGGCATGTCATCACATCGGGTAGTGTCAACTAAATCACCAGGCACTCTAATGGCATGTCATCACAACGGGTAGTGTCAACAAAATTACCAGGCACTCTAATGGCATGTCATCACATCTGGTAGTGTCAACAAAATCACCTGGCACTCTAATGTCATGTCATCACATCGGGTAGTGTCAACAAAATCTCCAGGCACTCTAATGGCATGTCATCACATCGCATAGTGTCAACAAAATCACCAGGCACTCTAATTGCATGTCATCACATCGGGTAGTGTCAACAAAATCACCTGACACTCTAATGGCATGTCATCACATCGGGTAGTGCCAACAAAATCACCAGGCACTCTAATGGCATGTCATCACAACGGGTAGTGTCAACAAAATTACCAGGCACTCTAATGGCATGTCATCACATCTGGTAGTGTCAACAAAATCACCTGGCACTCTAATGGCATGTCATCACATCGGGTAGGGTCAACAAAATCACCTGACACTCTAATGGCATGTCATTACATCGGGTAGTGTCAACAAAATTACCAGGCACTCTAATGGCATGTCATCACATCTGGTAGTGTCAACAAAATCACCTGGCACTCTAATGGTATGTCATCACATCGGGTAGTGTCAACAAAATCTCCAGGCACTCTAATGGCATGTCATCACATCGTGTAGTGTCAACAAAATCACCAGGCACTCTAATGTCATGTCATCACATCGGGTAGTGTCAACAAAATTACCAGGCACTCTAATGGCATGTCATCACATCGCATAGTGTCAACAAAATTACCAGGCACTCTAATGGCATGTCATCACATCGGGAAGTGTCAACAAAATGACCAGGCACTCTAATGGCATGTCATCACATCGCATAGTGTCAATAAAATCACCAGGCACTCTAATGGCATGTCATAACATCGGGTAGTGTCAACAAAATCACCAGGCCCTCTTATGGCATGTCATCACATCGGGTAGTGTCAACTAAATCACCAGGCACTCTAATGGCATGTCATCACAACGGGTAGTGTCAACAAAATCACCAGGCACTCCAATGGAATGTCATCACATCGCATAGTGTCAACAAAATTACCAGGCACTCTAATGGCATGTCATCACATCGGGTAGTGTCAACAAAATCCCCAGGCGCTCTTATGGCATGTCATCACATCGGGTAGTGTCAACAAAATCACCTGACACTCTAATGGCATGTCATCACATCGGGTAGTGTCAACAAAATCACCAGGCACTCTAATGGCATGTCATCACATCGGGTAGTGTCAACAAAATCATCAGGCACTCTGATGAGCATAACATTGTGTTGTTTGTTTACGATAATAAATTCAATTGATTTTACTTGAAATAGAAAAGTAAAGAGCAAAACACTGAGTCTGATACGTGCTGCTGAATGCTTATTAAATACTTTCTATAGTTAAAAAACTGTATTGGGCATTTGAGGTCAAGGTTAAAGGTCAAATGGGGGTGATTTTTTTTTTCTACGTCAGTGTCAGTATTAGGGACCGAAATATGCGATGGAAACCGGATTGGACGGATAAATGAACGCGTGATCAAGATGAATAATGTTGACTCACAACTTTGTTTGAAGCAAAGTATATAACTTGCTTATTATAAGGTGCATTAATTAATACATATTGACTTGATCGTTCACTTCTAATGCTACGTGTTTAAATGGCCCAAGCCGTTGGATTATACACGCATAAGGAGTACTTATATAGATATAGATATCTTTGTCTAAAATGATATACTATAGTATTGTCTATTGCCTTAACCCGACCGACCAAAAATATCAACTAAAAACCCTACTTAAATGTTTAGCTAAAATTTGAAATAGCTTTTTATATGTTTTTTTTATACCACAGAAGTTAAAATAGCTGTCTCCGATGTTGTTTAGTATCTTCGCATTACCTCTAACGCTGAAATGTTTACATGTCACAGTGAAGATTACAAATAATGCCTATTTCATCCAAAAGAGCTCCTAAGTAGAAATATTGATTTGATGCATTGTTGCATCTCGAAAGTTGAGTTAGTGATTTGTATTTTATAAACAAAACAGTCTCATTTTTCGGATTTGTATAAATACACATAAATAATACTGACAATTATAGACAACTCTAATTGATATCAAATATATCTATCTCCATCTGTTAGTAAACAAACAATGATATTATAAATCTAGGTGGGTTTTTTTCATTTTTCAAATGTATTTCTGGTATAATATGCATAATTAGACACATTTTTTTCCATACTCCTTAACACCCATAAACACGCTCACTGCATTCACATATACTCACGCATCATTTTATAATGTATTGTTATCATCAACATCATCACCCTGATATCTTTATCATGACGTTGACATCATCCTCATCGTTATCATCCTCATTAGTAAACTCATCATACTGATTTCATCGTCATGAGACTCTAATTATCATCATCATCATGCTCTTACTGATTTCATCGTCATGACACTCCAAACATCATCATCATCATCATCATCATCATCATCATCATCATCATCATCATCATCATCATCATCATTTTGTTTTTGTAATTGTTTATTTTTTCAACTTTTTTTAAACATACATAAAATCTTACAATCAAAAGATCATTATCAGTATCATCATAAAAAGCCATTCATCATGATTGACAATTATATAATATTTATAATCTTCATCATCATCATTACTGTCATCAATTATCATCATCATTTATAATTACACTTATCATCATTCATCAAAATGCCACTCACCATCACATCATTATTATCATCATCTTCATGTCACTTTTCATCATCATCTCCATCATCAATTGACAATTTATTCTACAGACATTCATCTTCATCGTTTTTCATTACATCATCCTCACAACTGTTGCTATACAAATACATACCCTCGCAAAAATCCATAGTGTGAAGTACAAAAAAAAAAAAAAAAATCTTATAAACTGATAGAGGAAAAGATCATTAATACATAGGTTCAGCACTGCCGGGCTTTGAGGAAAAAAATACTTTATAAGGAGTACTTGAGTACTGATTATTTGCATTAATTCAAATACTTTTGAACAATAAAAGTATCCTTAATTAACATTAACAAGGGCATCTAAATTCAAAGATTTGTTAAAACATCTAGTTTTTTTTATATATAATGCTTTATGAGAAATATAATTTCATTATCGACTGCGCTGGTCTGTGGTGATGTGATTCCAAAAAGGAAAGATTCTTTATTTGTTGAAAAGGCAATGAACAAGATATCTAAAAGATTTTCAAGTTCCTGTAGTAGTCCTTGAATTTCTCTGCATTACCATAAACAATGAATTATTATTTCTAGTTCACTATTACAAAAGGTACACAATGGACTTGAAGTGATATTTATTTTTAACAGAAAATTGTTTGTTACTAGTATATAGTGTATAATTCTCACCTGAAACCATTGTAACTTTGAGCTCTTTGAGACTGTAAAGGGAATTCTATAAATTTTCTTCCATTTTTCTATATCAAAGATAAAAGTTCTCTCCCATTTCTTTACCCAATTAAGTTGGTGTTAATTCTATACCGATCCAGAACCTCATGTAGTGAGAAAAAAGTTAAATTTCTAGGATCTTTAATCAAGTCATTTAATGAAAATATTCCAGCATTAAACCAATTTTGATAGAAGATGAAACTATTTCCAATTTGTATATCTCTATTATACCAAAGTGGAGTTTTCAAAATAGAGCCATACTCAAGTAAACTCTTCTTAAATAAACTTGAATTGTTCATTTTTGCACAACCTATAAAAACATCTTTTCAGAATTTATTTGTACAGTTGGATCCACATGAAAGATTAAAAGCATTCCCACAGTTCTGCAACTTTTTGAGTTTAGGAGCAAGGTCCATTTTCCTGATGACTTAAATATCCTGCGCACCCAACCTAGTTTAAGAGATTCCATAAAAGCTTTGATATCAATCATTTTCATCATCATCATCAAGACATTAAACACTGAAATCATCATCATCATCATCATCAGCAGCAGCAGCAGCAGCAGCATCAGCATCAGCATCAGCATCATCATCATCAAACTGATATATCCATCATGACATAATCTTTTTCATTAATATTATTATTATCATCATCACGACTGAAGTCAACCTCATATCACAATAATATCGATCGTAATCACACTTGTCATACTCATCAAACTGATATCATTATTATTACTGAAATCAACATCATTCTCACAATAATATCGTTATCACACTGTTGTCATCATCAAACTGATATCATTATCATCATCATCATCATAATCATGACTGAAATCAAAATCATTCTCATAATAATATCATCATCATCCCACTGTTGTCGTCATCATCAAACTGATATCATTATCATCATCATATGACATTTAAATCATCCTCATAATTACCCAGACATTTTCATCATGACATTGACATTATCTTCATCATTGTTATTCTCATTATGCTCTAACCAATTTCATCAACAAGACACTAAAATCAACATCATCATCATCATCATCATCATCATCATCATCATCATCATCATCATCATCACCACCATCATCATCATCATCATCATCATCATCATCATAATCACACTGATTTCATCATTATCACAATCATGCCATCATCAACCTCTAACTGATATCGTCTTCATCGTATAATAATAAAATCATCATAACTAATACACTGATATATTCATCATGATACAAAGTAGTAATCACATTGATGTCATCATCATCATAATCAGCAATACTACAAGTGTTTTTCGCATGTAAGTATTTATTTGCTAAAGCATATCATATCATCTCTCTCACACCTTTCATACTTTCTCTCAGCTTATTAGCTCTTTTGATATACATTCTTAACAATTTAAATGTCTTCTGATGTAAGTGTAGCCCAAGTAAGGAAACACTTACCATGCAATATGACGTCACAATTAAAGATGACGACGCGTGGATTTCTTACAACATTCCTTACCTTAAATTTGTTTATGGCATTATTACAGAATCGACTCCCACCATGCAGCTCGACGATATCCTGAAAGTGATTGGGGAATTCGGACCATATCAGAAGCGAATATATTTCCTGCTGTGCCTGCCAATCCTCTTCGTGTCCATGTTTGACATACTAAATGCTTATCTGATGTATAACCCGACACACGTGTAAGAAATGTGAAGTAGTGTCAGATCTGACATGATATGATGATAATATTGATATTTCAAAACATCAATGGTTTTAGGAAATAATATAACTTCCATGGTACCTTATGGTTTATGAATAAATGCAATACAGAATTAACATTAAAGAAAACGTGGTATCGCCAAACATACAAAATACATAAGAGTACACAATTACGTCGAAATGTGTTTTTTTCAACAGATGTGCCTCAACGGAACACACCTGATCAAAGCAAAGAAACATCCTTTCTGAATAAACGTCGTACGCATGTTCGTTCTGGTTGTATTCACTTCTACATTGTACGTAGGTTTTGACATCGTGGTGGTATAGGTATATTTAAACTTTAGAAAGGGCCGGTTTCCAAAACGGCCCCTTCTGTGATTCAAATTTCCTGTTGGTGGTGCATTGCCAATGCCGTTGTGGTCACAAATCTATAAAGTATAAAGATTTAGGTCACTTGGTTTGTTTTTTTATGGCTCCTCAAGGTTGTACCTTTCAGAAGCTGTCTAAGTGTTGATAAAATGTGCATGTTATGTAAAATATTAATGAAAATCTAATCAAATGATTGTCACCGATTTTCTGATGGAAATTTGCATCCAAAACTATATAACGGGAGAAAATTGCAATTTTATGGCATTTTTCTTCATAATTGTGTCTCTGCAAGTGCATTTTCATCCGATAAATTTATCTTTTTATGTTTTATGAATAAACACGATGTTTTGGAAATATTTATCAAAAGAAATTTATACTATGTTGCGAATTACAATTTCGAGATAACCTTCTTTTATTTACGAACTTATGTCTTTGATGCTGAAATTGACAACTTTATAAAAATACATTTTCACTGAAATTATGAAATCTGGGTGTCGGAAAGGTGTAAAATTATTCTTCGGAAAAGAAAAAAACAGTAGTTGAACTAGATAAGAAATTATACGGGGGCAGGCTCCTATGGAGAATTAACATTACTGGAAACAGGCCCTTTGAGGAAAACAACTATACCTACCTTGTGTTTATGAAAAATGGGATGAAGTGTCAAACAACGTACATGTATACATATATTAAATATTACACAGTTATGGTTGAGAAACCGCTTTTTTCTAACAGGTGTGCCACAATTGCTTCCCCTTTTCAAATAAAGGAAATCTCCTCCGACTACTCCGACAAATCTTCCAGTGTTAATCCTGATCAGTATGAATATGGGGAATGCAGTGTAACGATTGGAAATAACAGCAGTAATACAACATTGAATGCATGTTCGTCTTGGTCGTATGATAAGACTGTGTTTACTTCTACGTATGTTTCTGAGGTAGGTACACATTATATTGTTTCTTAATGGTAGGTGGTGGATGTTTTCTTTATCGCCAATCAGCCAAATGCTTATTCAAAATATCTTAAAAATTAATTTTATAGATTTTTACAAAAATATAATACTATTTGCTTTAAAAGACAACTGATGAAGTTATGCATATTCCAATACATTGTGTTCTTATAAGGATAAAGTTGAATCACGCTACACACCATTGGAGACGTGATATATACAAACTGCAATGATTAATGTTATCATGTCTGCTTGGTGATAATACATCCAAAAATATACAGGTTTTTTTAACAATTCTTAACTATCTTTTTAACGGATTAACTCTTTCTTTTGTAATGAATTGCAACACTACCATAGATGTAATTTACAACATCAAGTACACTGTACACAAAACGGTATCTTAACTATCACGCAACACGTGCTATCATAACGTTACTGTTCGAAATTTTTCGAGTTGTCATCACAAACAAAATTGGAGGAAAGAAAAAACACTTGGTTCTAATGCTTGGCGTATTTTATACCTGAAGCCTTCACTTCCTTTAGTCACTTGATACATTGACCGGCACTGAATTTTATCGCCTCATAAACAGTTCTATCTCTGTCTTAATTCTGGTATAACCATCGCTTTTGGCGACAGGATTCACTCTTAATGAATGTAATGTTTAAATATGATAATCTGTAATACTCATTCATGTTATAAATGAAGTTGTGTATCTCTATTAACCTCTGATAATAACCATTTTATAAATGCATTTTTATTATTTTCTGATTATCACACCTTTTATAAATGTAGCTGTGCATCTCTTTTAATCTGTGATAATCACCCTGTATATATGTTGTTTTGTATCTCTCACAATCTGTGATAATCACCCTGTATATATGTTGTCTTGTATCTCTTACAATCTGTGATAATCACCCTGTATATATGTTGTTTTGTATCTCTCACAATCTGTGATAATCACCCTGTATACATGTTGTTTTGTATCTCTCACAATCTGTGATACTCACCCTGTATACATGTTGTTTTGTATCACTCACAATCTGTGATAATCAACCTGTATACATGTTGTTTTGTATCTCTCACAATCTGTGATAATCAGCCTGTATACAATGTACATGTTGTTTTGTATCTCTCACAATCTTTGATAATCACCCTGTATATATGTTGTTTTGTATCTCTCACAATCTGTGATACTCACCCTGTATACATGTTGTTTTGTATCTCTCACAATCTTTGATAATCACCCTGTATATATGTTGTTTTGTATCTCTTCACAATCTGTTATAATCATCCTGTATACATGTTGTTTTGTGTCTCTTCACAATCTGTGATAATCATCCTGTATATATGTTGTTTTGTATCTCTTCACAATCTGTGATAATCATCCTGTATATATGTTGTTTTGTACCTCTCACAATCTGTGATAATCATCCTGTATACATGTTGTTTTGTATCTCTCACAATCTGTGATAATCAACCTGTATACAATGTACATGTTGTTTTGTATCTCTCACAATCTGTGATAATCATCCTGTCTACATGTTGTTTTGTATCTCTCACAATCTGTGATAATCACCCTGTATACATGTTGTTTTGTATCTCTCACAATCTATGATAATCACCCTGTATACATGTTGTTTTGTATCTCTCACAATCTGTGATAATCATCCTGTATACATGTTGTTTTGTATCTCTCACAATCTGTGATAATTAACCCTTATATACATGTACTATTGTGTCTATGTATTTGTAAAAATAACCCCTTTATAAATGTGGTTGTGTATCTCTATTAATCTATGATAATCACCCTTGTATAAATAAAGTTTGATATATCGATTAATCCGTCACTCCTTTAACAGCTCTTTATTTCTGTTAATTGGTGATAAATGATTTTTGATCTCGACTAATTGTTGATAATCTCCCCCTTTCATGCTTTTTATTTCTATTAATTTGTGTAAGTCACTGCTTTTCATAGCAATGTAGTTCTATTAATTTATGATTTTCCTTCCCTTTTATTGGTGTTTTCTTTAATTTAATACTATTTTTCAAAGTTATCTGTGTTAATCGCGGTTATTATCCCAGCTATGTACATATGTATCAATCTTTTAAAATTAACCCTGAAATCATAGCAATTTCTATTAGTGATAATCACTCCCTGGTATAACCTTACATTTGTTTCAATCTATTATGTCATCATTTATTTATCGCTATGCATCTCCATTTATCCGTGATTTATCGCTGGGGGGTTTTCAAATTTATTTGTGACACTTGCACCGTTTGCTTTCTATATAAACCTGTTTGCTTGTTGCAGTACAACTTAGTATGTGACCATGCTCTAACGGCAGCGTATATACAGGTCGTCATGCACTCGGGGTCAATGACAGGCTCATTTGTTGAGGGTTTCCTATTGGACAGGTAAAACATGAACTTATGTATCACAGTACAATACAGGTCTTTTACGTGAACATGTTACAGATTTGCTTCAAACTTGTATTCTGTTAAGGTTCAACAAGCCTCTTAAACGATGTAATAGTCACCCTAAATGTCAACCCCATGGTAAGTCATATTCACAGATCCTTATTCAAAATCGGAATATATATGTTATCAAACTATATTGAAATTGTATATAAGCTGCTTTAAATGTACATAACCAGGTTAACGTAGTCAATAATAAAGCATTTAAGCTGATGAACCAAACTTACCTTGAACAAAGTTGCTAGAACTTCTGTTTATCATTTGTTATCATATTTCTCCTTTTAGTACTAAACTATCTGAAAATCAATAAGTTTTAACTAATAAATCACACCATGTTTATCACGGTGACCCGTTCTGTCGTCTGACGAAATTGTATCGTCGATAGCAATCTGACAAAACAAACTTACAAGGAAATTCGATGTTTATATGGGTCTATACTAGGCCAATAGCAATCTGACAAAACAAACTTACAAGGAAATTCGATTTGTATAGGGGTCTACACTAGGCCAATAGCAATCTAACAAAACAAACTTACAAGGAAATTAGATTTGTATATGGGTCTACGCTTGGCCAATAGCAATCTAACAAAACAAACTTACAAGGAAATTCGATTTGTATATTGGTCTACGCTAGGCCAATAGCAATCTGACAAAACAAACTTACAAGGAAATTTGATGTTCATATGGGTCTACACTAGGCCAATAGCTATCTGACAAAACAAACTTACAAGGAAATTTGATGTTTATATGGGTCTACACTAGGCCAATAGCAATCTGACAAAACAAACTTACAAGGAAATTTGATGTTCATATGGGTCTACAGTAGGCCTACGCCGCTCCTAGACGAGGCCGACACTACCAACAAGCCAACCCCGGGGGTCGGGGTAATAATGACGACACAAAATGTTCCTCGAACGACATACATGTGCAAATGAACGATAGTTTATATCCTTTAATGAACCTTGAAACAAAATGTGAAGAGACTAGCAAACGCTCTTTCTGTCATCATAAACATCACTTTTTCAGACCGGGTTTCAACACCACCAATCTATAACGGAGTTTAAATTTTCAGAAGGTTAAACTGTTGAAACTTTAGTTAGGAAAAGTCGTCTTGGTTATAGTTCATTCGACAATTAAACTCTGGTTTCTTCAATGTTTTTCTAAACAAGGTCGTTAAAGTTAATGTTACGGCATAATGCTACACGATATTTATTGATGAAAGGAAGAAAGTTTGTGATTTCAATGACATTTTTGGTTTTACTGCCTTTCGCTTCGACCGCTCATGTGGTGTGTAAGTACATTTCCCCCGTTCTTACTCGCATGAACATTGCCAAACAACTAATTGTCTATATATATATAAGAATATTTTTACGATGTTGCCTGATTTAAGGAAATGTACCGTCACAATGAAATCCTCCTTGGTATCTACTCATTTCAGGTTCGGGAGAAAACTTGCTTTGTGTGGAGGCATTACCCTTGCCATGGTGGTTGGTACATGTGCCGCATTCTCTCCTAATATCTACGTCTTTACAGTCCTTGGATATATCCAGTCTTTGTTTTGTTCGTTCGTATTCTCAGCAGCTTTTGTATTAGGTAAATTGTCATAGCTCGAAAAGACTAATACAGTTGAACAATGTTTGCATTTTTACATTATGTATTGGACGCGTGTTTGATAATGAGTATTTAAAATGTCAAATCACTTAATATTCATAACATACGGTTCAATCTAAGCTACATTTTTTAATTATATCTACATTCAGAGACATGCTAATCAGTTATTAATAATCACTTATTTACCGCAATTATAGACTCATTTCCAACGGGGAGGAATGCAGGGTGATGTAGTATTTATTTCATTGGCTCAGGCTGATTAAACTTATATCAGAATAAATATACCAAACCATTAGTACAAATCGTCTTCGAGATATACAGCGTATTGGCCATATTTAGATATAAAAACACAGCAACACACTTTAACATAAGAGTTTACATACAAAGCAACACACTTTTACATCAGAGTTTACGTACATAACAACACACTTTTACATCAAAGCTTACATACATAGCAACACACTTTAAAATAAGAGCTTACATACATAGCAACACACTTTCACATCAGAGTTTACATACATAACAACACACTGTTACATCAAAGCTTACATCCATAGCGACACACTTTTACATCAGAGTTTTCATACATAGCAACTCGCTTTAAAATCAGAGTTTACATTATATCAACAAGCTTTTACATCAGAGCTTACAAACATAGCAACTCACTTTAAAATCAGAGTTTACATTATATCAACAATTTTTACATCAGAGTTTACATACATAGCAACACACTTTTACATCTAAGCTTACATACATAGCAACACACTTTTACATCAGAGTTTTCATACATAGCAACTCACTTTAAAATCAGAGTTTACATTATATCAACAAGCTTTTACATCAGAGTTTACATACATAGCAACACACTTTAAAATCAGAGCTTACATACATAGCAACACACTTTCACATCAGAGTTTACATACATAACAACTCACTTTTACATCAGAGTTCACATTATAGCAACACACTTTTACGTCAGAGCTTAGATACATAGCAACATTTTTTACATCAGAGTTTACATACATAGCAATACACTTTTACATCAGAGTTTACATACATAGCAATACTCTTTTACATCAGAGTTTACATACATAACAACTCACTTTTACATCAGAGTTTACATTATAGCAACACACTTTTACATCAAAGCTTAGATACATAGCAACAATTTTTACATCAGAGTTTACATACATAGCAATACTATTTTACATCAGAGTTTACATACATAGCAATACTATTTTACATCAGAGTTTACATACATAGCAATACACTTTTAAATCAGAGTTTTTATACATAGCAATACACTTTAAAATCAGAGTATACTTTATAGCAACACACTTTTATATCAGAGTTTACATTATAGCAACACACTTTTTTATCAGATTTTACATTATAGCAACACACTTTTACATCAGAGTTAACAATCAGAGTTAACAATATAGCAATACTCTGTTACACCAGAGTTTCACTCTATTCCAATATTATAATCACATGTGCTCGTTTATACGCAGGTTTGGAGCTTGTTGGACCGTCCAAACGTCGCTGGGCTGGGATTCTGGTTAATTTTTTCTATTCAGCTGGGCTGATGTTGTTATCAGGATTTGGATATGCAATCCGTGATTGGCAATATATTCAAATTGCATGCTCTTTACCTTTGGCACTTTTCATCTTTTACTGGTGGTAAGTATTCCGGTTAATTCATTGTAAAAACAAAACGCTTCTGTCAATATAGTCCATTATCATAACAAGATTGCATTCGTTTATTTTTATTATCTAAATGTTCATCACTTCCACGACATAGCATTGGCTTAATCAGTACCTATTTAGGAAAAGACAAGGTGTTTTGTATCGCAAAAACAATAGAATATTAATTCTAAACATAGTGTTGAATCGAACGCAAAATCAGAGACGGAAAAAACTTAAACAAAGCAATCCTTTTTCAACGAAACTCTCCAAAAGTATATGAAGATAAATACAACATGATCCAAAAGGAAAGGCGGTGTCTGCATCATCGATGACAACCGCCACAAAAACCGCAAGGAACACTTACAATCATTAGAAAACGTCAATATCTATATCACAGGGAAAAAACGTTATTTCCCAAAGAGACTATATGATGATGCCGACTATAAAATCTACGTGCTATTCGAAACAAGACATCAAAATACTGTGGTAAGCTGTCCCTAGTTAGTTTTTTTGTAATGAAAAATCAAGCAAGCGGCCGATGGAAAAGGCTGCAGTATCCTTTACTTCAAGGTAGGAGAGTGTATAATGTTGTAATTTTGCTATTCGTAGACAACTCGTTTTCGATGTACGTTTGTATCATACATGTAGAACTTGGAAAGGGCTCTGGTACGTACCATGATATAAGCACGTGAATACTCTGCTGAAACATCTTCCCATGAAAAACCAAGAAGAATATTGTCAACCATTTAATTTCAACCTCGATCTGTTTTATGTTGACCTTTGTCATGCGTTGCACACAACATACCCGAAACTGTACGTAACGTCTCTCAAAAAAAAGAAAACATTCCTTCATTATGGTAGGAGGTATGTTAGTATACGGGATAAAAGGAGGAACATTATTTGATAGACCAATTAGTTTTGAGGATAGGATTTTATGTACAAATTTAATGATCTATAGTTTTCTTTAAAATCCTTATTCCATTCATGGTATTCCCACGCATATTGGATATCTCTGTCATTGTTTATTCTATAATATTGATACGTTTAAATGAGAGTTTCGATAGTAATTTGATAGTGCCAGGAGGTTAATGAGATGACGCATTTCAAATCGAAAGAGGTACACTTAACTTGATCTTGTTATGGCTAGGTACATTGTAGCTAGGTCAATGGATCAGAGCGACGATATTGTGATCGGCAGTCTTACATTATTTTAGAATTTTGTAGTTGTACCAGCGGACGACAATTAAAAAAAAGACATTTTAAGTGTTTTTAAATCATTTGAATTTCTGGTTCGATGAATCCATCGACTCTCCGTCGCGGTACGTTATAGACCTAGGTAGTCTCAAAGTAAAGCAAGAAAGTATAGCTAGTTAGTTATTGATCTTTTTTTTAATTGGAGTAATTTGGTGAAGCCTACTACAATTATAATTTCATCCATTTTGTTTAAAGGCATGAAAATAACAACATTTTTCGAGTTCGCGTTGCTTAGAAGCATACTTGAAACAATAAAATACATGTTCCTTCTTTAAAGATTTTTTAAACGAGCCGATGGTTATCAGTTTAAATTTTATTCTAATATATATTTCATATTGATCACTTTTTGTTAACGAATGCTTGCTTTTTTGTCTCTTTGAAGGATCATTCCCGAATCACCACGCTGGCTGATCAGTCAGGGTAGATATAAAGAAGCCCATGCTATTATCCGTACAATAGCTAAATACAATAAATGTGAAGACAAGCTGTTCCTTAACCAACTAACAGACGATGATGACGAGGAACCCGAACGGTTCAAAATCTGGCACCTTTTCTCGTCTTGGTCCAATATTGTCAGATGTGTGATAATCTGGGTAAACTGGTAAGTTTATTAAACGGATAAGACATTTTGATTGGACGTCTCTGTAAAGAATTTACATGTAAGTTTTTTTTATTTTTTGGTATAACAAAAACATAAATAGATAAACAAATTATGCAATTACTAGCCATTTCAAAGGTGATTATATGATAGCGTATGATATTTTCCGGAGAGTTCGGTCAACGTTCAAATTATTTATGTATATATTGTTTTAAATATATTATACATTCACCGGTAAATTTGATTGGATAAAATCATTTTTGTTGTGGTACTTAATGTTCATTTATTTATTTTTTTATTCAATTTTTCTTTTTTATAAACAACACATTTACACACAAAGCAACAAGCACACATTACATTGATTACAATTCCCTTCACAACGGACACCTCTTTACAAGAGACCAATTATATACTGTACACATAGTACACATATACACATACACACTCACAGGGGGGGGGGATTGCAAACTTTTCTTTATAGTATAATGATAATTGTTCACATTATTTTATAAGAGAAGCCATTTTTCTACTTTATTAAGCAAGACTATATTATTTTTGCAGTTTTTATGCTTAATTATCAATATCTTATGAGATTTAAGTTCAAAAAGAATGTGATTCTTTAAACTTGTTATATTGAGTTCTATTTCTAGGCATTTCATTTTAAAAATGTATTGTTTAATCAATAATAGGATAAGATTATCCACTATCAAATCAGCATCCTTTGAACTGAATTGTCCAAATATAAATTCCTGTTTGTCAAAATTCAAATCAATATTACTGGTTGCAAGCAATTGTTTTAGTTCTCTCAAAATTTCACATACTTTACCACAATCCCAAAATAGATGTTCAATTGTTTCTGGAAATCTTTTACAAAATGTACAAGTTGAATTTTGTTTTATTCCCATTTTTTGTAGGAGTGTTTTTGTAGTTTAGATTCTATGGTTAATTCGGTATTGAAGCCATCTTAATTTAGTACTTTCAGTAGTTTTAAAGGGACATGCATAAATCTTTATCCATTATTTGTCCTGAATGTTAAAAACCGTAGACCATTTCCTTTGTGACGTGGGTTTTGTATCATTTCGGCATAAAACAGCATAAATATCCTGTGCCCCTTTATTCCTCCTTAATATAATATTAAGATTTAAAGGTATATTAGGTAAACAAATACTCTTTTCTAAAGCAAAGATTTCTTGTTTACTATTTATAAACTGTTTTATAGCACTGATTGTACTATGAAAAGTTAAAAAATTAGACCTTATATCATATCTATGTTGAAATTCTACAAAATTGTAAAAAGAACCATCTTCTTTAATTATATCATATATAAAAAGCACTCCTTTTCTATACCACTCTTTATAGAAAACAGGCTTATTGTTTATTTGGATATTGTGATTATACCTCAAAGGATTTTCACATATTTTTTCACTATATAAATTGGACGACACTATTGTTTGATACCATGCTTCTAGAACGTTTTTCCAAAATTTATTTTTACATTCTTCACATATAATTTTCATTTTATGAATTCCACAATTAGCTAAAGAGAACTTATCTATCTAGTTTTCAGGAATGAAAGTCCAACTAGCATCTTCTTTATAGATCCTCCGTACCCACGTTGCCTTTAGTGCTGTTATGAAAGACTTTAAATGAATCATTTTCAAACCACCATGTTCGTATGACTTTATTATAACATCACGTTTAACTTTATCAGTTTTTCAGCACCACAAACAAATGTATAATGTTATTTACTTTTTTTTATATAAGAGTCATGTGGGTTTGGAAGAGCTATAAAAAGATGATTAAATTGTGAAATTAGCAATGTTTTAATAATGGTTATCTTACCTATTGGAGTGAGATTTCTTCTATTCCACGAACTTATGAGAGATTTAAGTTTAACAAGTTTCTTATCAAAGTTTAATTTAACTACTCTATGTAAATCAACATCATATTCAATGCCTAGCAAATTAAAACGTGTACTTCCCCACAAAAGATTGTGCTCTGTTGTATATTTATTATTACTATATTTTTCACTGCCTATCCAGATTACCTGGGTCTTGGTGAAATTCATTTTAAGACCTGAAATTCTGGCATAATAGTTAAGTTGTTGTAGCGTTACATTTAAAGATTTTTCTGAACCGTCAAGGATAACAGACGTATCATCAGCAAACTGTGATAAAAGAATTTCTCTGTTATTTACAACAATACCGCTGATATCAGAATTATTTCTTAACAGAATCGATAAAATTTCAGCACATAAGATAAAAATATATGAAGAAACAGGGTCCCCCTGACGGCATCCACGCTCGATAGTGAAAAAAATGGATAAGTTCCCTCCTATGTTAACTGCAGAGCGTATATTTTTTTGAAAAAGGTTGATCCAGTTAATAAGTGATGGTCCAAAATTGAAGAAATTTAAAGTTTTTGTAATAAAATTCCAAGACACAGAGTCAAAAGCTTTTTCAAAATCAATTAACAATAGAAGACCAGGTATGTCATTTTCTTCAGTATAATGCATTAAATCATAAATTAAACGTGTATTTTCTCCAATATATCTACCTGGAATAAAACCAGTTTGACTGTTGCTAATTAATTTAGTTATTATAGTTTTGAGTCTTTCTGCTATCGTGCCGGATGCCATCTTATAAATAGTATTGAGAAGTGTGATGGGACGCCAATTTTTTAGTTTATTACGGGGTTTGTCGCCTTTTGGGATGCATGTTATAATTCCTTGTTTTTGAGTGACTGACATTTCTGAAACTGAATAACCAAAATTAATTGACCTGACAATGAAATGCCCAAGTTGTTNATGAGTTTGAATTGTAGGAATTAAAGAAGCAATCAAGACCCCAATTAGCCCGTATTACATTTTCCTTTTCTGCTGTAAAATGTGTATCCTGAAGACAAAATATATTATAATTTTTATTTCTCAAGTATGCAAATACGTCTTTTTGTTTCACTATATCACCAAGACCCTGGCAATTGGCAGATAGTATTGTTACACCGTCCATGTGTGTTTTAAAATCACAATGGTCGTTGGTTTGCAACATGGGAGAACACCAGGAATGGGGTCGGACATACATAAAACATATAAACACATATAGAAAATATGATTTTGAGAGATAATGGAACTAACACCCACCTTCTACTATGATACGTTTCGTTCACTCTACCACAACCTCACGTCGCCATATATATAACAAAAGCTTCTGTGTGACAGTGATTGCAAGGTGCGTTCTATTAACCTTGTCTAAACTGTATACACATGTACTCGAATGTACATTTAAATTGATGCATCGTATTTATAACTAAGTACAATATTAAACTATTCAATATTAGACTATATCCTATATTCCATTTACATTTGGACATTTTGAAATATTCTAAGAAGTAATACATTTAACTAATATATAATATATCATATGGTGTGATTAAGGTGCATTCGATTAACCTTGTCCAAGCTGTTCACACATATCCAATCGTATACATTTATTAAGTGTAATATTAAACTACATATCTTCCATTGATGTTTGGATATTTTAAGAGTTATCTAAGATATACTAAGTTTAACTAATACGTATATAATGTACCATGGTCGATTAGGGTTACTTGAATAGCATAACCTTGTTTTTAGTTCATTTACCATCACGTGCAAGTTACACTTCCTGTATACAAGTACACATGTACAATAACACTCGACACGTTGACGGTGTATGTTTGTTCTTATATAAAACATATGATGTATGACGAATTTGTACATTTTGCGTCAATCACACTTTTCTTGCACTCTTTTATGTTATATAATTATACCTTCATCAACAGAAATAAACATTACGTAAATTTGCCGGGAAAAACAAGGCAAAAATATTCCTGTCATTAAGACAAGCACATACATTGGGCAGAGACATCTGTGCAAAATGCGTTCTGTAAAAATAGACAAACATAACTTTATGTGATTTCTGTAGATAAGACAGATTATATTGATAAATGAAATAACACTCTATGTAATAGATGTTATAATTTGTTTTATCATATAGTTTCGTGTAGTAGTGGTGGCATCCACACGATATACACTTACATATATATATATGAGTTACATCATTATTGCTTTCACTACTAATCTATATTCCGGACTCGTACGTATACTATACAGACTTACGTTGGGTGCGTTCGAATTGGTCCAACTATGCACAAAATCCATCTCACAAAATATCTTCCAATCACAGATGTATTTGCAAGCATAACATCCTAATGATAAACAAGTTTATTTACAATGAAATTTGAGGCATGTAAATGAAGATCAGCACACATTGGAATTAAAATCTAAACAGGAATCACTGGTGTGACGCTGCGCTTGAAGCATTACATGTGTATTTTTTAACAATATTTCCCATATTTGTTCTGTAGTCATAGCCTGGTTATTTTCTATAGTTTTGATATTATAGTTCACTTCGTTATCGAATCATTTAATTTTTCTGATGTATACACACACACACATATTGGTAAAGACTATACGAAGTAACTAGAATATATGTGAATATTTTCAGTATATATATAATTTATCACTCCTCCGCTCTTACCGTCTATCGTTGGAATGTAAAATTGGCGACAGGAGTGACAACTTTTTTGAACGTAATGTCATCAACGAGATTACCAACGTGTTTTACATGTTGAAAGACCTGTATACAAGTCTGTCCAAGTCTATGCCTGGGTGGATTCTATGGACTGTCTTGTCTGCAGAGAGCCTTGCGTATAGTTTACCATTGTCACTCCATTTATCGCTGACCCGATCATCGAATGATAGACTATCCATCAAGTGTTGGTTTTCCCGCGAAAGGTCATCCCTGATAACTATACCCCTTCCTTTGAGCTTGTGACGTTTCTGGATACATTCTATTTTTGTACGGCGACACATAAATTTGACGATGATAGGTCTTGCTTTATTGGATCTGTACTTGCCCAACCTGTAAGCTACGTCAATATCTGTATTCTCGATATCAATGTTCAGATCGGATTTCAGGAAACTATGAATCTTCCGACAGGTTTTTTCCATGTTCTCGTCTTGTTCGTCCGCCAGGCCGAATACTCGGACACTTGACTTCCTAGTGTACTGTTCGAGCTCGTTGATGTCATACTGAGCGTTCTCTGCAGTTAAGCCGACTTCAGCCACTGTATCTTTATTTCTCTCTACGTTTTTTCCAGATTCTCTATGCGCTTTGTCATACTTAATGTTCATAACGGCAGATACTGTGTTATCAAAATGTTTTGAGTTTCTTTGATTAAATGGTAAAATACGTTCAACTGATAAAGTTAGAACTTTAATAACACAAATGCAGCTGATTAAATTTCACACAACAAAGAAGTACATGACGCTGCTCTGACTCCGTCATGCCTCGACATTGAAAGTAAAAATATACAGTTATTAAATTTGGTTTCGTTTGATTTGGTTAAGTATCTTATTAACAACCAAGTTCATTCCAGGATGTGTTTCCATGTGTGTAACGATACAAGTGTGCTTTAGGGCGAATACTGGTGTACTTTCCTCGTTGCGATAGTGTGGATCTTATGTCGACTATAAACGTGATACATCACTGAAATACTATACCGAACGCATTGAGCACAGTATTCTACCTGGTTTTATCAGACTAACCACGGATAACCTTGTTGCGATTATCCTAAATACACCATTGTAACTAACATGAATGGGAACGTGGCAATTACGAGAATATCAGTCTAATCAATTTTGATGATATTTGATAACTAGCAGCTTAAAATCACCAACAACCTAAATACAATATTATATATACACACTCGAGTGCCCCTCAACATGCAGGTGTCTAATTCTTATAGGGAATAATGCATACCAGCTACGGATAAAGAAAATTGAAAAAAACAATAAAATATGCCTAGTTAATAGTATCTGATAAGGAATAAATGAATGGTTTAGATTTTTTTAAATACCATTATCATGGCGTAAAAAATATATATGTTGTTAATACTTTTTTGAATGAATTATGATGAATGAATTATGAGTTATTCGTGTTTGGTTGACAAACATTCAGAATGTTATTATTTTTCTATATTTCTGTTGTTTGCAGGATGGTTATCTATATAACATACTTTGGATTTTCCTTAAATGCTGCTAATCTAAGCGGGAACTTTTACCTCAATCATCTACTCGCTGGCCTTGTCGAATTTCCAGCTAACGCTGTTGCGTTTGTATTGTTGGATAGGATTGGGCGGAAAAAACTCTTTATCTTAGGGATGGTTATCGGCGGATTATGTTTACTCTTGACAGGTGTATTCGAACATTTCTGGCCTGTTGGTAAGGTTAGAAGTTACCAGGTTAAGTTTATGAAATTATATTTCAAACAAGTGAAAAAAAAAATGTCATAAGAAAAACAGCAAAAGGTTCTTGATATCGAATGCGATGTATATTTTGTACAATATATTTACCAGAGATTCTAGTTTTCTGTCAAACAAAACCCGTTACCCAATCATAGTGATACGATCCGTTCAAATTTCCAATATAATTTCGTTCCCCTTGAAAGATTTTGCCGAAAGGCATTATACTGTATCTTTACAAAACCTTCTTTAAATTTATATTAATTGATTTTAGCTATAACGAAAAGCAACACACATTTTCATTTGTTTCATAAACAAAATTACACACTAATAAACGAAATCATCAGCAGTATAGCCAGGCATAAATTTACTTCAAAAAGTTCAAATACCTGTCTGTTTGACAACATTTACACTTAAAGGACTTCCTAAACATTTTTGAACGCCTGCATTTCAACTAACTGTTTATGTATTGATGCTAATCTTGGCTTTATAGTTGTGTGTATTCTATTTCAGAAATAATTTCTATTTCGTTTGCTATGGTGGGAAAATTTGGAATAACGATCGGATATGCCGTGGTATATGTGTGGTCAGCCGAACTATTCCCCACAGGACTACGGAGTACAGGACTAGGCTTAGGATGCATGTTTGGCGATTTAGGATATATATTTGCGCCTTACGTTTTACAACTGGTAAGTAATACATCTTCAAAATAAATATTGTTTTGGTTTGATTTGGTTTGATATGGTTTAACGTCCTATCAACAACTAAGGTCATTCAAGGACGTGTCTCTAGATTGAATGTGTATATGCCTTCGTTCATGTGTGTATGTGTGCTGGAGACAGGGTTTGTTGTTGTCATCGTCTCCTTGCGATAGCGCGGATCTGATGCTGACTTCACAGTGCAATCTCACTGAAGTAACTTGCCAAGGGCACCAACCATAGCATTCTGCCCGGTCACATTATACTGACAATGGTTGGAACAAACAGTTATTGCCATTGCCAATGCAGAATGTTTAGCATGGATTGCCAACTACGATTTGGTTGGGTTGGTTGTGGTGGGATGGGGTGGGATAGGGGGTCCCGCATTAGTCGCCCTTACGATCATGCGACGGGTAACAGCAGGTATATGCTTTTATTCATCCCCGACCTGCAAGGGTGAACAAAATAGACTAGAATGTATATACGCGTGTCTTTACGTGCTATATAAGGTTGAAGAATCAAGTTTTGATGCTTCATTATTGTTTTATAGGCACCTTTGCCAATTTGCCAATCGCGAGCAAATCGTAGAGAGATCGTGCGACTCGTTGCAGAGGTCATGGGTATATATATATTCGCACGAGCAAAATCAGTGGCAGCAAGGTCGATGGTCATTTTCAAAAGGTCTTACCTGCGATTCCAAATCGCAAAATGATCGCAGTCAGGTCTTACCTGGTCGTACGACCAGTCGCGCAGAGACGCACCACCATTCGTGGTCAAGTAGTCACACGCGGATTGGTCGTGCTACTGGTCCTAGATCGGTCGTGCCACCTGTCGTGCAATCCAACGATCGGTAGTGCGACCAATCCCGACTGGTTGAACGACCTTACGTATGGTGGTACCACCCGTCTTGATCCTGCGGACGAGTGTTTTTGGAGTGACATTTTGGGTTCAAGTCACACTCCACTACGAGACCGAAAGAAAACTATGGTCAGTATGCAATTAATGCCAGGCATATAACTCATGTTGGCCCTTATGATGGACAGCTGGGTGTTGTGGCGGCAGCCGTAAGAGTCTACAAATATATCTGATCGAGTGACCCCATCGCACGACCGTCTGCGACCTACTGCGATCGCCGACGCGAGTGGTCGCAGGTGGCCACAAATGATGATGGTACGATCAGTCGCTGGTCGACACGACTAAGTGCACGATTACTTATTTTGCGATAGATCTTGTCCTATCGTTGGTTATCGCACGACAACTCGTACCCCCAGTCGTATTATGACCTACAACCAATCTCAATAGCAATCGAGTTATGCGATCATCATTTGAGATCATAGCAAACATTGCCGATTGGTCGTACCTCCGCCGAATTGCCACCAGTCGCACGATCAAGAAATCGAACGATCCGGTGTGACTAAGGATTAAGTCCGTTCCAAAAAGAAGTATATCATGAAAAGCACATTCGGCTTATCATTCCTCAGAATCATGGTTGGTTGCAAATGTTGAAAATAGAAACAAAACAAAAAGACTTAAGACCTTTACATTACGAAGCCTACACTTTGTTAATAGTGCCATTTGGTATTAATAGAACCGCAACATCAAAACAAAGTGTTGACTGCTTCATCTCATACATAGAAGGGAGAAAACTCCAAGTAGAAAAGCCCTTGGGGGAACTCTTCTTTACGATTATAAATGATACAGTAGTACCCGTTACTTTAAACAAGTGATCCTTACTTCATATTTGTATTGAATGTTATGGAGGATTAAAACACATGCAAAAAACAAAGTCTCAATTAATGAGTCTTGTTGGCAAATTAACAGATAACCATAACATATATATTTTACCGTATAAAGATCCCTTCAACTACAAATTACTAGGATATAACAAAATGTCCTAATGTATGTGACAAGCTATCCAATCTTTTAAAAAACATTGCATTATATGAATTTGCGTATACTTTTGTGTATGATACTATTTTATGTAGACAAACTTAATTACTTCATAAGCAATCATACATTGCAGACAGATAAGTAATAATATTGGATCGATTTTTTTCAAATGCATTTAATATAAATCATAATGTAATTTTTATTTTTACACCAGATTCCAAGAAAATTTGTGATTCAATATTACAGAACAAACGTATTTTAACATAGAAATAGATTACAAAGTATGCCCATAGCAGTTTGATATATTATTACTAGTCTTGCGAACGGCATGAGTGTTCACATCAGCTAAAGCAATCCTACGTAGACTTCTTACTAAAACAAACGTTTATTGGTGACTTTGGTTGACAGACTCGACGTGTCCCGGGCTATGGACGTGTTCTACCGTTATTCCTGTTCGCTGTGTTGGCATTGGGAGTCTCGTTTCTCACTCTTTTGTTACCTGAGACGACGATGGAATCACTTCCAGAGACAATGCAAATTCACCCAGAAAAGTAATATCAAATCATCGTCCTTGTCTTTGATTTTGTTCCTATAAAGGGATTATCATACGACGAAATATCTCTCAGAAGACTCTTACGCTTTCAAAACAAATTGGTCTTATTCTCCTTTTCAGTGATCCACATAAAAGTATGCCTTTTTTCAAAAAGCAAGTTTTATTGATTTTCAGTTTAAACACAATTGTTTTGACGTTTTGGTATTCTCTTTTTGTTTTTTCGTAATTCTAATATTGGTGATTTCTTTAAATCTAAGAAATATTCAATAGAATGTTATTTTCTGAAAATGTGTACATCAACTAATTCATCATAACCTAATATCATGTAACTGATTTTTATTGCAGATTCGAGTCTCCTAAAGATAGCAGTCAGAGGAGGATATCAGGAGATAAGCTGACAGTGGAGGAGTCGTTATTATAAATCTAGACATTTGCAGAGTTCACTTATCAGCTGTTTTATATTGGTGAATTACGAACAATTATTTTACCCTCGTATTTTTCTGCACATCAACACAAAGAGTACTGTGACAACAAACAACATCTTATTTAGAAATAAATTAAAGTGTTCACTTGACTGATAAAATCGTCCTATATTTTATGATGTAATTGGTGAACTGCTAAACCAAAGAGGTGGTATTCTTGATTGGCTAACTTGAGGCTCCTCACACAGGTGTCACATTGAAAACAATTAAATTTCTTCTGTAAGAATGTTCCCCGTCTTTAATCACCCACCGTAAGAATTGCAAGATGCATTCACATTTTGGCGGATATCTTTATTTGGTTAGATATGTTTGGCTACTGTGCGCCACTCTCAGCCTACTAGAATAACCGTCACGTCTGGCAACAACGAAGATATATGAGAAAAGTGGTTTGACAGTTTACTGGACGTTTTGGATTTACAATCGTAAGAAGGCTTTTGAAACAGAACGAGTGTAACGAGTGTAACACACTTAACGTGTTATAAACCTTATTTTATGAAACAGATTAACATAACAGTAAAACACGGTAATAACGTAAGTCAAGCATAAACATCAGCCAACGCAACGTCGTCTAGAGTGTTCCCTATTCTAAACGACCTTAACAGAGAAAAGAAACCTCAGCATAAAAACAATAACAAGCTGGCTTTTTTAGAGAAAAACAATTATCAGCCTTTAGCTTTAGTTATTCCCCTCACGCAAATGGAAAACAAACGTCCTATCAAACGTTCAAAAGTTGAATATTTTAAACCCATTTTAGTCACTAAATATTGATTAATGTCTTATTTAGGAAGGACATTTTCAATTATTAAATAGATATATGAAATCCACAATAATATTGCTTACGTTAGGAACATTCGGTTTTGTGCACTAAAAACTAAAAAGTATCAGGCACGGTTGACACACACACATCTATCATATTTAACTCGTACTGTATCTTTATGTATTAGCTTGTTACACATCTTGCACCACGGTGCCGAGAGTAATTGTAGAGATCAGGCCACAATAACACATGAAATGCACGAACTGTATGTATTAAATCTTTGCTATCTCTGTCATAACGAATGCCAGAAGGTAACATGTCAAATTCACAGCAGACATGGGAGGGGGGTCAGTTTCTGAATTTAAATCTGAAAGGGTCACACTAATTATGGTTTCATAAAATATAAAGTTTGTAAAATCTATTTGATGAGAGCAGATGAATAAGCTGTTGTGTTGTGCTGCGTTGTGTTTTAAATTTATCTGAATTTACTCTTGAGGTAGGTCAACATTTTTATTTCAGTCTAATAGGGCAACCGCTTTTCATAAGTTGTGCCCTATGGGTTGATACTACTGGTGATATTTTTCCGGTATTATTTGAGTGCGAGAGTTTTCTTTTAAGGTGCCGCTAATTATTTATTGACGACATTAATCGATTAATGGTTTATTCTCTCCTGAGTTGGAAACCAGGGACTCTACATACTCTCACTCAGCTGCCTTCCTCGATCGTTACCTACCCTAACGTCTCATTACTTAACTGTGCGATAAGCGGGACGATATTGACTTACCGATGGCGAACTTTCCCTTTATTGAACGCAACAACCCTATTTCCATACCATTAGAATGTACATGTCGCAGTTTATTCCGCATTCAAGGGCTTGATACAAATGGCATGACTTCCGTGATAGATTTTAACTGCTGACAGACAAACGTACAACACATGTTTTCCAAAGATGTATCGTGGCCATCATGATTTCATAGACAAAATACTATTTTTTGTGTTATATGAAGGTCGATTTTTTCATTATGCTAATTAGTGTGCTTTGAGGTTTTGTTGTTACTGCCAAAGTTCACGATGTGAGGACGTGATATTACGTGGTTTTGACCTACATTTACATGACGGGTGTCGTCGATGAATAAGAAGACATTTACCCTTCCATTTACACCTGGTCTTATCCTCGTAGTTTTCAAGGGTCTGCATGACAACCTTTTGTTTGTTCTTATTTAACCTATTTTTTATCGATTTTGAGCTCGAATCATGGTTTTGTGAACACTGCCGTATTTTCTCGTTGCTTTTGTGATGCTAAATTCTTGACATGTACTATACGTTGCTCGTGTACTGTGTATCTGGTACGTCCTCCGCTATTGACTTTTGACAAAGGTACTATATCCTTTGAGCGTTAACGCTCCGTTAAGAATATGTTCGGTGTTCAAATAATAAACGAACAAAAAAAAGTCGGAACTGGTTGCTACGATGTTAACAACGGTAGCCGTGGTTGTTAGGATAACATAGTTCGAGTGGATATATATCTATATATGAGCTAATTTAGACATATATGAAATTTATAAGTTTGCAGGAACAAAAATAATACACAGAAAGAATATATATTCATAAACGCTTTTGTTGATCGTCTAACATTAGCCGTTTTTATATAAAGATGTAGTTAGGAAAACATTAACTTTTATCACATCATTTTACAGTCGCTATAGAAAATACCAGGTATACACCATTACAATTTCATTGTTACCAACAGAATGACAAGTACAAACGGTCACACTACAGAAAGTACATATGACTGGCATATATTTACAAAACTAACGTACCTGTCAGGCATAGTCTGGATGTTGACATAATTTTTAATGCAAACCACAAAGTTCATGTCATTAATAGAAAATAAACAAGGATAATATTACTCAGCTGACTGAACAAACACAAAGAGAGGAAACGTGATTCAGTGACCATAGCCTTTTACTGAAGTCTATAGTTTCATGTTGATTGGACTAAAAGGCAGAGGTAATACAACTTCATTGATTTTGTTCACTACGAAAACAAAGCGGGTTGGTGTTACATAAGAAAGAAAGGTAAGTATTGATCTATTATGTAAAATCTAGATGTGAAATCAGTCAATTCATAATCATATTTAAATAGTAGGAGGAAATATACATAATTTATTTTGTCAGACCATTTATATGGAAGACCCAGCCCCCCGTGCCGAACTCCGAACCCGACCACACCTCTTGAACAAATATAGGCTCTCACTATTGGAGTTTCCTCTTTACTGTTTTTTTTTTTTAAATAAGATTATAAATATTTCTTTTAAAATATAATATGCAATACAACCGAATTGATTTCACCAGTTTTACCTTAATTGCAGTGACAAGGCCCGCCTGTTACTGTCTACATCATCGTGAACATCGTTTACAGCATATTGTATCACAGAATGAAACAACACAAAGAGCTTCAATACGTATTTGGATACAACAGTCATTCTTCTTTCACATCGTAAATATTACCCTTCCTCTTATATTTAAATCACCATTCACATTAAACAATATGACTTCTTATAAATAATGGTATAACTAAAGTTTAATTATCTGATGCTATAAAAGGTTATACAATCCTACAAAGATAAATAGTTTTACATGTATATAATTTTCGTCCCTCATTCAGTCGTCCGTATTAAAAGTTTGATATTCGTTTTTGAATAATAAATTCCACGACATCTCTCCGATGGATTTTATTTTTTATTTTTTCAATTACAAACATAAAACACAATTCGAGAAGCAGACAAGCGATAAATCAGCAAATGGCTACCCTGAGATAATTAATGTCTATACAATTATGTTAAGGCCTCGTTTCAATATCCGATACCAGGTGGGCCCGACGCCGACGATTGAACAGCTCCTACTAGTAATTTACCTCCCAGCTACTTAGACGATTTTGCATTTATTATATGATTCCCAGATTAAGGAAGACTTTTCTGGTACATATTTATTTATTTAATCTTTCAATTAATACCTACATACGATAAAAAAGAAACGCTTCAAAATAAGATTTCCATTGATTCATATTTGCATAAATATCAATCAAAAATCATTTTTAAAACAAAAACTATATGATACTATTTCCTGTTAGAAGTATACTTACAACAGCATCATTTTCAAGATTGACTTGCATTTCTTAACTCTTAATATTCACCAGTTTGTGCAAGTGCAAAGTGTACATATAGAGGATCTGTCATAAGTTTCCCTTCATATTGGATTTATGATTTTGATTTATCATGATTGCGAGCCTCTGGCGAGCAAATATGAAATATCCAAAACGTTTACCACATTACCCGTAGGGTGTTCATGTTGAAAGGACTAAAAGACAGAGGTAATACAACGTCATTGAGTTTGTTCACTACGAAAACAAAGCGAGTTGGTGTTACATAAGAAAGAAAGGTAAGTATTGATCTATTATGTAAAATCTAGATGTGAAATCAGTCAATTCATAATCATATTTAAATAGTAGGAGGAAATATACATAATTTATTTTGTCAGACCATTTATATGGAAGACCCAGACCCCCGTGCCGAACTCCGAACCCGACCACACCTCTTGAACGAATACAGGCTCTCACTATGGGAGTTTCCTCTTTACTGTTTTTTTTTTTTTTNCAGGCTCTCACTATGGGAGTTTCCTCTTAACTGTTTTTTTTTTTAAATAAGATTATAATTTTTTCTATTAAAATATCATATGCAATACAATCGAATTAATTTCATCAGTTTTACCTTAATTGCAGTGGCAAGGCCCGCCTGTTACTGTCTACATTTTCGTGAACATCGTTTACAGCATATTGTATCACAGAATGAAACAACACAACGAGCTTCAATACGTATTTGGATACAACAGTCATTTTTCTTTCACATCGTAAATATTACCCTTCCTCTTATATTTAAATCACCATTCACATGAACTATATGACTTCTTATAAATAATGGTATATCTAATGTTTAATTATATGATGCTATAAAAGGTTATAAAACCCTGCAAAGATAAAATTGTTTTACATGTATATAATTTTCGTCTCTCATTCAGTAGTCCGTATTAAAAGTTTGATATTCGTTTTTAAATAATAAATTTCACGACATCTCTCCGATGGATTTTTTTTTCAATAACAAACATAAAACACAATTTGAGAAGCAGACAAGCGATAAATCAACAAATGGCTACCCTGAGATAATTAATTTCTATACAATTATGTTAAGGCCTCGTTTCAATGTCCAATACCAGGTGGGCCCGACGCCGACGATTAAACAGCTCCTACTTATAATTTACCTCCCAGCTA